TGTCTTGTCTGTCTTGTCTGTCTTGTCTGTCTTGTCTGTCTTGTCTGTCTTGTCTGTCTTGTCTGTCTTGTCTGTCTTGTCTGTCTTGTCTGTCTGCCTGTCTGCCTTCTTCCTCATCATCAGCTGATCAGGCCACGTCCAGCGACTTTGTAGCTCCTCAGGCACCAACTAACTACCTAGTAGGCTACATAGTAGCTAACAACAAGCCCATATCCGGCTCTCTCACTCTCTCACTTACGCTACAACGGAATCAATCCTACATATCTCCTCGTCTGGATGCATCATCTATTACTGTCATCATCATCCTCGTCATCATCGTCGTCGTCATCACCACCGCAAACCATCCTGCGCTCGGATGCTTTCAATGTCCTATATATATTATTACTGAAACACTGTTACATTCCACCTGAAACAACGACTCTGATTACTTGCTACACGCACTATGTTCCATGTCTGTGCGTAGACTGACTTGCATTATTCAGCAATCCATCCGTAGACTGTGCGGGCGTGCTGGATGGGATGATGCATGTACTGTCTGGAATACCGGCACTTGGGCACTGCCTGTAGACCTGGAGTGTCTGTGTCTGCCTGCTGCGTTTCAGGCTGCCATGTCATAGTAAGGCATCCCTCGTGACCGGGACCCACTACTGTCTTTCTTACGCAACTGCTTAGACGACATAATTACAAACGCCATCACAGCACGCCTACCCTTGATCCCACCACGCACTATCCCAACTAGGCAACCAGCTCGGAATATTCTAATTACCTCCTACTATCCACTCCACCTCACATCAATCATTCAAATCATAATATATATATCCTCACTAGTCACCACCTCACCACTCATGACCCCTCCTCCCACAACAATCCCATCCGCAATCGCCCATATCCTGCACTGCTTCCACCCCGACGCCCGCCGCGCCTTTTGGGACTTTGACCGCTGGTTTAGCGTTACTTGGATATGTAACTTGGCGGGTGGTGGTGATGTTAATGATGATGGAAAGCACGGAAAGGACGGACACGAGACGACGACGACGGCAGCGTTCGAAATCAGTCGGATCCGGCGCCAGGTCTCGGTCGGGAGTCTGGATGCGGATGGCTGTTGGATCTTGGTGCTGGTGTTTGATGTTGCTGCTTCGGAGGATGGTGATGTTGATGATGATGGACAGTCGACAGTAAGCCAGTCGACAACAACCCAGTCTATACAACACCACTGGCACCCCCTCCCATCCCTCTCCATGCGCCACACCACCCCCCCAACAATCTCCGCCCTCGCCCTCACCCTCCTCCAAACCATGACCTCCGCCCAAACCTGGCTCTCTAGCAAGTCCCGCCCCCACCGCCACGAATTCTACGTCGAACTCGACGGGCCCGCCGACATGGACGATCCGGGTGCCGATGGACTGGCCATCTACCCGGGTTGGTTGTATGGAGCCTTGGATCTGGGGCTTTGTGCTGCTTGTCGTGAAGGGGGGTGTGAGGGGGAAAGGGGATCATTGTCCAAGTGTGCGAGGTGTGGGACTGCGGCGTATTGTTCGCGGGACTGTCAGCGGCGGGATTGGGCTGCGCATCGGGTTGTGTGTGGGATGGATGGGGTGGGGAGGGGGAGGGCGTTGTTGTTGAGTAGTCGGGAGGGAGGGTTGGGGGGGGGGAATGGTGGAGGAGGTGGGAATGAGGACGACGACGACGACGACGATGCTGAGGACTCCAATGCCGACGAGCAACAACACCATCCCAATCCTCCCACCTCAACCCCAACCCACCACCTCCACCCATAAACCCCCCAAACACCACCCCTAATTACCACCCCGCCCTAATCAGCACACCCAAACCCCCTCCTCCAACCCCAATAATCCTCCTCCTCCCCACCATCACCACCATCACCATCACTCCCATCATCCCCATCCCCAAAACACCGCCAACTCACCGCCTCCCCGGCCTCATGCACCAGATCCACCCCCGGACAACTCACATCACACATATACGGGCCCTCCCCTTCGCCATACTTGCCCCCGCCGCCCGTCCCCACGCACCCGGCCCCGCGCCACACAATGCAGCGCTGTCCCGGGTCTGGTCCGAAGTGGAAGTCTGTGCTTGTGATTGCCGGGGCGGTGTGGCATTTGTCGCGGGCTTGGAGGGCTTGGCGTGCTTGTGCTTGTGGACGGAGAAGAGACGACAGGCCTCGCGGCGGGACTGTTTGGTCCGAGTGGGTGATGTATGTGCATTTCGAGTCCGAGGGGCAGATGTTGACTGCGTCCGGTCGGCCGGAGGCGCAGATGGGTTCGCCGGGCATTTCGGCGTTGCGGGCGTGGGCTCGGGCGTGGGCGCGGATTTGTGGGTTTGTGCGGATGGGTGTGCTGGTGCTGGTGCTGGGGAGGAGGGTTGTGAGGAGGGTTAGAGTTAGGGTGAGGGTGAGGGTTAGGGATAGAGTGAGAGTGCAGGTAGAGAGGGGTGGTGGCATGTTGGGTGTGTGCTTGGTGTTGGACATCGTCGTGGTACTTGTTTGTATATACTGTTTGCCGTAGTAGACGCAGTCCCGGTAGTCGAGTCGAGTCGAGTCAAAGTCAACGTAAAAGTAAAAGTAAAAGTAAAAGTCGTCGAGTTCGAACGCGACAGATGCCTATTATCATCACCACTCCCACATCGCAAGGCTATGCGAACTACACTCACTTCCGACACATCACATCACATCACATCGCAAACACTGCCCCCTCGGCACCAACCAACCACCACCACTACCACCCGTGCCGCTGCCTTGCCTCACCCTCACCCCTACTCTACCCTACCCTACCCTACCCTGTAATGCTGTGTATATATAGCATATACATACATACATACATACATACATACATACATACATACATACATACATACATAGTAACCCCGCTCTTAACCACATACATACCAACCGCACAGCACTCACGGTAGTTACACGTCATTTTTGTGATTTCACGGCATGTGTGCTCGGGATTGCGGTGTGCGGGAGGTTCGGCGTTGGCTATTAATAAATATTGTATGCTTGTACGGAGTGCTGTGTCGGAGTGCTGGGAGTGGTGTGATGCTTGCATACAGGTACGTAAGGCGGAGTATTTTATGCGTTTTTTTGCCTGGTGCATGCATGCATGTCTTTCGGATGGGTTTATGGTGCTTTGCTTAGCGCGCGCTTGGCTGGGGTCGGGGTTTAGGGGATAGGAGGTGATAGGCATGCGGAGATCTGGATTTGGCTTTATCTTTGTCTGGGCTGTGTGGATGGAGATGGGTTTGTTTGTTTGGTTGTTTGCCGTTTGTATATATGCATTCGAATATGCAGGTACTTGTAGTATGCTTGCACCCGGACGGTGTAACAAACAATCTCGGACCTGTCCTGGCCTTGCACTTGTCGGCAGCTAGTCTCCTCCAGGCCTAGTGGGTGGATCTTGGGGTAGATGCTTTATGGTGGGGAAACCTTGCTGCGACTACAGCGACTGCTTTGTGACGTCTGTCTGTCAGTATCAAGTGAGTGAGTACGATATACCATATCTCGTATTCATATCACATATCTGTATCATTATCTCAATCCCAGCCCCGTGTCCACCACCCTCCGTCAGGATCACTTCTCAACACCAACATCATCAAGCTGGTCATGTCCGACCCCGAGCCGTCTCTTACCGCCCGCCTGTCCGGCATGAATCCATTCTCAAAAGCCAGGTGCAGCAAGGTCGACGACGACACCACGGGCGAGCAGCTCGACCCTCATGCCATCGCCGGCGGCGGCCATGCTGCCAGGGAGACTCTCATCACCAAGAACCAGCTACGCGTCAGCCCGGCCCTGCGCTCGTTTCTGGTCAACAAAGGGGTCTTGTCGGCCAGCGACGCCGGACTGGACGACGGCAATGACGAAATAACCCCAGCGCTCCGTGCCCTGCTGGATAAGCCGCATGTCAAGGTCCCCCCGGAACTGATAGATCGCTCCCATCGCCTGCCGGAGTACTTCATCAGCTCCAGCCACAACACATATCTGATCGCCCACCAGCTGTACGGATCATCATCCGCCGCAGCATACGAGGTCGCGCTCAACACTGGCTCGCGTTGCGTCGAGATCGACGCCTGGGACAACGACGACAACAAAGACGAGCCCAAAGTCACGCACGGCTACACCCTCGTCTCCCATGTGTCCTTCCGCGCCGTCTGCGAGACGATCCGTGACGTCGTCGACAAAGAAGCAAAGGAGAGCGCAAACGCCCAGGGCCACTCCGCCGCCCCAATCTTCCTGAGTCTCGAGAACCACTGCGGTCCGCATGGCCAGCTCCGCCTCGTGCAGATCATGCAAGACGTTTGGGGCGACCGCCTCCTGAGCAAACACGTCCGCGAGAAAGGCCACGAGGAGCAAGGCGGCGGCGAACACGTAACTCTCGCCGAGCTAGGCTCCAAGATCTGCGTAATCGTAGAGCACCACATCCCCAACGAAGCCGCCGACTCGGACACCTCCTCCTCCTCCTCCTCCTCCTCCGAAGACGAAGCCGACAAAGCCGCCCGCCACCAGTACGCAAAAGCCAAGCAAGACGCCCCCGTCTCCCTCATCATCCCCGAGCTCGCCGCAATAGGCGTCTACGCCCAGTCCGTCAAGCCCGCAGACAACTCCTGGTTCGAGCAATCCCTCACCAACGCGCCCCACCACCACCTCATCAACGTCTCCGAATCCGCCCTCGCCGCCCACCTGCCCGCCCACGCCGCCGCCATCGCCTCCCACAACGCCCACCACCTCATGCGCGTCTACCCAAAGGGCTCCCGCATCTCCTCCCGCAACCTCTCCCCCGTGCCCTTCTGGGCCGTCGGCGCCCAGATCTGCGCCCTGAACTGGCAGTCCTTTGACGCGGCTATGCAGCTTAACGGGGCCCTCTTTGCCGGCACTGACGGATTCGTCCTCAAACCTGCTGCCCTGCGCGCCGGCGGACACGCTGTCTTGGCGTCTGCCGATGCCGATGCTTCTCCCCGCATCAAGACCCTCCGTCTCCACGTCGCCGGCGCATCAGACGTCCCCGTCCCCTCCGACCGCGACCCAGACGACCCCATCAAACCCTACCTCACCGCCACCCTGCACATCCCCCCAACCACCACCAACCCCAACTCACCCCCACAAAAACGCAAAACATCCCCCTACAAACACCACAACCTCCCCCTCCTGCACCACCACAGCCACGGCCATGGCGCCCGCACCAACCCGCCCGCCACCGACCCCCTCTGGAACGAAGTCCTAGAGTGGCAATACCCAGCCGAGAGCGAGGAAATGGCGTTTGTGCGGCTGTTGGTCAAGTCGGATGATCGGTTCAAGGGGAATGCGAAGTTGTGTGTTGCTGCGGTTAGGGTGGCGTATGTTGGGGGCCAGGGGTGGGTGGTTGTGCGGATGGTGGGTTTGGGGGGCGGGGACAGTGGGTGTGGGGTTTTGGTTAGGTGGGAGGTGGTTGGGTGAGGGGGCAGAGGGTGAAAGTGGGAGGGTGGATGGGTTAAAGGGTTATGGGTTGAAGGGGAATTGGGTTAAAGGGGGTTTGAGAGTTGAGAGTTGAGGGTTGGGGGTTAGATGAGAGGGTAGATGAAAAGGGGGTTCAGGGGCTCAGGGGTACGGCGTGTGGAACACGATGCTCGTATACCACCTTCTCCTACTCCATTCCCTGAATATAGCTTTTATGATACCTCATACGATACTTAACGTATCTATTTAAGCGCCATCACTCCTAGTCTACCACCACTACCATGATAATCCCGGCATATAAACATACTAGGCAGTATACTGTCTAGCAGCTCGCGCTTATATGCCTGCCGCTGAAATGTTTCTTTGAGGTCTGGGTTGGGTTTGTGGAGTGGGGCTGTGGAGCGGTGGTATTAGAGGTTTGGAATTGATGGATGGGATGGATAGAGATGATTGTGGTTACTGGGACTTCTGTGGTTCCTGGGATGGTATTTCTATATTACTATTTTTTGTTCTGTTCACGTCAGTGGGTCGTGGTTTGTGCGGGCTGTCGTTCTTGGAGGTTTGGTGGGTGCGGTGCTATGGTGGGCGTGGTGGGATCGGTGGTGGGTTTGGTGGTGGGTTTGGTGTCTAAGGGGGAAAGATGATGTGGGGAAGATGTGGGAGTTGAGGATGAGATGGGAGATATGGATAGGGGGGATGTGCTGTTTGGGGGATGTGCTGTTTGGGGGATGTGCTGTTTGGGGGATGTGCTGTTTCCAGGACGAGTGGCATGTGATGCGCAGAGGGTATCTTGATATAGGGGCACGGATGCACAAACACGCGGACAAGCGCAAAGTAGCACGGTAGCAGTATACGGGTGCGATATCGTTGGGCCATATGCAAGCACGACACGCAATAGTTTCATCAAAGGAGTGGAAATTGTATTGTCATGGTCTGTGTAGCTTCTGGATAAGATCTGACATGTTTGAGAGGGCATAGTTTCACTCGATGTATTCTGTTTGGAGGGTACATCATTGCACTGGATGTATTCTAGCTGGGGGGTACATCGTGGGCATACTGAGGCCCGGGGTGTTTGATATGGAGGTAGCGACTGTGTTATGGGAACGTGCCGGGCCGGGCCGGACGGTCGTGGCTGTGGGGTGTTGTGCGTGGGACTCATGCGGTCGCGGTGTGCTCTGACGTTTCTTCCTTGATGGTGGTGATATACTTATCTAGAGTGGTCCAGTCCTTAAGCAAGCCGATGTACTTATCACGAAGCATCTTAGCTACCGCATGTATTACAGTGTTTCTATCAGAGATCTCAGAATTATACCGATCACGATCCGCCGGGACACTGTTCGCCCGATCATTGGCCACCCTAACTAGTGTGTTGGGTTAGTAGAAGTGGCGATGGAACAAAGACTGCGCACTCACTTCTGCTGAGTTCTTTATAAATTAAATCGCAGTCTGAACAAGCTAGTATGTTGGGTTAGTATGAGTGTCGAGGGGACAAAGACTGCGCACTCACTTAGATCTTCCAGAACGCGTCTGGTCTCCTTGACAAGATCGAGTAGTTTTTTGAGTAGTTTTACGAAGAACAGCGCAGCTTGCCGTTCTACCGCTTCGATCGTCCTTGGTATATCTTCACCTTCCCTGAAAATTCCTGGAGGGATGACTTTGACCATTGCCAAGGTCCTCCCGAATTGAAGCTGCAGACCGCCATGTATAATAGACAGGGCTTTCTTCAAGACCTCGTTAATCTCGACCGTATTCATCGTCATATCTTGTATACTCTGATATCCCGCTAAACCTGCCGAGGATTTGGTCCGTGAGGTCGAGAGTCTATCTCTTGATGGTTTATCGTGGGGAACAGGTCCTGACCGTATAGCATGCTGAGACCTTCGGCTTTTATATCTTTTCAAACAGCTCTCATATCTCGGCAAAAATACGTTTTGCCACCACCGATGGAGAATCAGGCTCCTGCCTTATAATTCCTGTATTCAACTCGCACAAAACTTGCTTTGTTTGAGGTCATGCCGCAAAAAAGCCAACATTCTTGATACTTCCAAGCCAAACAGGGCTATCTCAATGATGATCCTTGAGAAAACTTTGTGCACAACCTGGCTCTGGGTTGTTATTCAAGGGTTTGCGCAGCACGTTCCGCATCAGACCCTTCATTCTTTGATATGAAAGGTTCAGAATCGGGGAGATAACTCGCAGTGCCATTAAAAGCAAGCTATACATTGTTTTCACTCATGCGGAGGCGAAGGTGGGGCCTCGAGCGTGAGGACTGACCTTGTGCAGTCAGCTTTTTAGTATCATCCTCGCCATCGTGGCAATCATGCTCACGGTCTAGCAACGGTATCGATTCCTTGACTACGGACTTACTATTGTCGACATCGCAAGGAAACATTACATATTCTGACTTCGAGTCGACGTTAACTGAGCATTCTCAGGGGCCGCGACCATAGACAATGTCATTGTATAGGTCAGTGGTTCGAGCACCCTGGGTGTCAGGGCGATGTGGTCTCTGAACACTGTGCGCTGATAGACACGAGGGTAACCTTCTGAGTCACCAGAACGGAACCAAAGATCATTATGATCTCGGTCGACGCCTGTCCTCGACCAGGCGTGAATGCAGGCCGACGTGTCTTTTTTCCTGGTGAAATCTTGAGATCTTGCAAGAGAACTAAGCTCCCTGTCGATCAAGACAGCTTTTTGAATCTATTCTGGTTATCCTGTGTCATCTGTCGAGTGTGTGTGGACATTGAAGGGCAGAATCACGTTGATTAGTGATTTGATACTCGAAACTCAATACACCTATACGGAACGGCAGAGAGTTGGAAGCACTCAAGACAAAACATCCGTTACCTGGGATACCTACGCGCATATAGGAGCAAGTATTCAGTGGGCAAATTACAGTCACGTGGGATGTCCGTTGCAATATTGTAAACAATGCAACAAACATAAAGTGGGGCAGATTGCCACACTTTTTCTTCACAGCAGTGACATGAAATTTCTCTGCTCAACTCCAGTCCTACAAAATCTCGTCCCACTTCAAAAACACTACCAAGCCAGCTACAACAAATTGCCCAACCCAGCATAGCAATCTAAGCAACCCCAAAACAGCCCAATGCAAAAATCCCACTCACTAACCTTCCACCGCCCGAAATGTCCCTGTGCACACTACGAAGACCACCTCGAATCCGGCATCGCAAATGTCTCGCAACAGAGCCGTGAGCACATCCGACGCGCCCGCAACGAGGCCAAGGGCGCAAAGCTCAACCCCTACGACAAAACCGCCTTTGTGAACTCGGACAAGATGTGGAATCTGCGCGATCAATGCCAGAGGTGTGGACTCGTGACCTCGCCGGTTCACATGCTCCAGGACTGTCCTTATCCGTGCGTTTACTGCGGCCATGCTCACCCGGATAGGCTCTGCGTCAACCATCCGAGGCATTTCAGTCAGGAGTGGGCTGGTCCGTCTGGTGTTGTTGTCACGCAGCCGACTCGGGGCTTTGCTCGAGAGCGCGCTCAAACTCAGGCTCAGGCTCAAGCTCATGGACCTGCTTCGCAGCAGATGGTGCCAGCGTCAGCGTTCCCAGGCTTTTCTCTGAATCTCCCGGGCTATGCCGTTCAGCCTGGCCCACCGCTGAGCTTCATGCCACACGCATCGGGCATGACAGACCAAACACACTGGCAGATGGCACCGCAATACCACCCCATGCTCGCCCAGCAAATGCCCCTTCCACGTCCACCACCGTCCGGGTGGTCTGCAGCTAACTATGACTTCCAAGCTCCTGCTAACTTTCAAACTCCAGCTATCCCCAAAGCCCCAGCTAACTTCAAAGCTCCAGCACGCCCCAAACCCGCGCCCGGAAGCAGGCCAAGCCAGAGCCGAAAGCGCAGCCGCCAGAGGAGAAACACGCACAAGCTCGAAAGCCGGCTCGCAGAGCAGCGGAAGCAGAAGAAAGCTAGCGCAGGCAATCGTAACCTTATTGCTCCTGGTACAAGCATCGCTGCTCATCCTAAGCCTGTGCTCGCAATCGAACAACACGTCAAGACACCAGACACACCAGGCATGCACATCAAGCCCATCAACCTAGAAACGAGTGTTCTGACAGCCAACCCCATGCCCGCACACCGCCCACTCCAGTATCCAACCCGCGAGCCCACTCTCGCCGAACGCAGCAAGCTCCCGCTCAGGGGCCTGGACATCCCACTAACACAAGACGAGATTGAAGAGGACGACGCCTGGTTCGGCGAATACATGGAAGGGTGTGACGACGAGGCGGGCGAGCGTGCTGGAGAAGCGGCATTTGCTGCTCTTGGTCGTGGTTAGCTTTGCTGATTTCAAGGTGTGTGGTAGTATAGGGAGCGGCGAGATGTATGCTTCGTGGGGCTGACTGGGAGTGTGGGCCTCTTCCATGGGCTTATATCTCTGAGTGTATGATATTTCGTTGCGATTGCGTTGGGTGTGTGTGGCTGGTTGGTTGGGGGAGACGGGCGTTTGTGTTTGTATTCGTGCATTTGTGGAAGAACTGGGTAATATGGCGTTTCTTGGAGAGCTTTATCTGAGGATTGCGGTCTTTGGATGGTGGAGCAGAGGATGCTTTGACGGAGACTTCAAGTAAGTGTTTGGTTGAGCGGTACTCTTTACCATGGCATGTTGACACTTTGGCGTCACATTCTGCGTGGCCACATGCCCGCGTTGCACGACGCAGGAGTTTATCTTCTACTTAATGGACGTCTGGTTCACAGACGTGGCACTCCCCTGGCCCTAATACTCTTATCACGGCATAGCAATCATGCAGTCTAGCCTAGCGCGACTGAGATGCACAAGTTCTCAATTCAATCAATGTCATATAATTCGTAACAATGATTCCCAATCATGCCTTGACTTGACCGCTTCTCAACCCGTCCCATGAGATATGTGACATATACCCCTCGAAGCGACCGATGAATCGCAGCCCTGACAGAGACACCCCATACCATCCAAGACACCGATAAATGTAGCATTTCATGATACAGCACGCACACGAAACTTTATGAAGATGTATAACAAAAAGGGTGAACTTTCAAAACTTCGTTTTGAAGTCAACATGACCCCTCGACAATGCGCCGAATGCGCTGACTCGACGTCATATGGCGTGATGTAGGTCCTCTCACGTCTTACTTGGCGCTACGCCCAGGTCTATCCCTCCGCACGAGCGAGTCAGTCCTCCGTTCATGAGCGATTGTAGGAACAGAGAAAATTCGGGACAGCGCGGGATGACTGTTCGGCTGCGGCTGCGAGGTACACAAAGGAGACAAGTACTGGGTCTTCTAGGTTCAGGGGCTGTATTGCACAGGGCTGAATGTTTGGTATTTTGTGTCGTGCCTGTCGTGGCGGTCCGTGGTGGCTTGTGTAGCCGTGGGAGGTAGGTAGCCAAGAGGGGGGTTCGAGCTGGAGGGGGAATGATGGACTATTGTCGGTGAATTGGGACAGCTGTACCAGATCAGAGGATGGAGTTTTTTATGAGTTGCGATATGATCATGTCGTGTATTGTGTCTAAGATGTGGTATTGAGAGGTCTGCTTCTAGGGGATATGGTGGCATTCGTCGAGGACATCATGGCTGAAGGTTTCTATTCAGAGTATCCGTTGAGTATGGAATAGTCGCTGAAATTCGATGTGCATCGTATTGCATGACTTGCATGTAGCGTTTCGTACCTGTTGATCTTACCATCAAAACATGAATCGCAGAGACAGCGACTACAGTCGTAGCTATGTAGGTATACAATTGACACATGTACCGTTTGCATGATCGAATCGTGAACGTTGAGTTATGGTGGCTGAAGTACCATGATAAGAGGTTGTCTGAACGGTCTGGGAAACCAGCCACGAAGGTCGATGTTTCCTCGTCACGATTTCGTCGCTTTCTCGTTCAATCTCACGTTGCGATCAGTCAGGAACTCATGTCTCCAGTGTCGTACGCATCAATCGCGTACCTCGCAACACTTCAGCCGTTGGTGTAATTTGAGCTATGACCAAGTTTCATACCTGTTCAACAACGCATGTTGCTGGAACGTCGCGGCCTGAGCACAAAGTATGCTCTAGCAATTATGTAAAGTAGTATGGGAGAATAGGCGACGGCGGCAAGTATAGAGAAGATGACGGCATGATTCACTCCTCTGATCGTAAATGAGCTTTTGTCCATGACCTCGATACTGCGGCACAGTCACCACGCTCAAGCTGAGTCGTCGTGAGAGGCTCCACAACCCCATACCCCAGGGTTCTGGAAAATCGCGCATCGAACGCGTGTAGAGCAACCCAACGCGTGGCCCCACACGCTGTGCGACAGAGCTGTGAGATTGATGTGGCATGTGATCATGCTGAACCATGTCATCCTGTCAATCCTCAAGGATCCTTGGTAGAGTGTGCTCTGTTCACTAAACGGTAGGGAACCCCTTTTCCTTGCTGCGGCTGCATGCAGCGACACAGTGTGCTACCGGAGACGAGTTGGAGATTAGCATCCGTGCTGTTGGATGCAATCGAATAAGCAAGTGCCATTGTTGTCCATACTGCTTCCGGTCAGTGGTTGATTCAGTCCACAATGCAATTGTGGCTTGATGTTGTGAGACCTGTGCATGTCTTGTTGCATTTCTAGAGTCAGTGCCAGTCCTGTGGAACGAGTAAGGACAAGCGATATCGGCCGGTGAATGTAAGGCAGTGTGCTGTTAATCATCCCATCGACGGCATATCACACGCATGAGCAGTCGGAAAACCCAGATAAGCGGGGAGTTTTCGAGGATTGGGCTCAGCACGAAGTCGGAGAGGGCTGACGGAAGGATACTCACGTTGGACAACAAAAGCAAGATGGAGCGTAGGCGGTCGTAAGAATAAGGATTTGTGGTACTGTTCTCGGCATGACTGCCGCGATGACAAGTTTTCCTGTGCATGACAACGGGCTAGAAATTCTTGTGGTTGACCTGACTCGTTACAGCGATTGCAGCGGTTGCAGCAGGGACCACCAAATGCTGCACAGCTTATATGGACGAAGACAAGTTGTGATGTAAGGAATGAACAAATGATGCATTACTGCATGTTGGCGCCATGTAATTCTTCTTGGGATGAATACACAATGCAGTGAGCATCCATCTAGGGCGAATGAACCGTGACATGCCTGTAGTCCTATGCTCGAACAACGTCTGTCCTGTGGAAATCCTCGATGATGTATGAACCTTACATATTGAGCTGCCTCTAGTCGTACGTTGGACAAGGGACGTGCCGTAGAACATGCAAAGGGACAGCCTGCTCGTGTTCTCTAGGTCTCTGCCCCTGTTTCTAGAAGCTCTCATGTGACTGAGAGCTTTCGCGGTATAGGGTGTGATAGGCACGAGGAACAGTCTGAAAGAGTCTTTACAGGGCTGAAGCGATGTATGTAGCTAGGACGGGTGAGCGGCTGTGTCGTATAGCGTTGACGATCAGTCCGCTTCGAGCGGCACTTGAGACATCAGTCAATGTTTGTTGCCTTTTTTGACAGGTATCCTATTCCATGTATCCTATTCGCACAAACGCTTGCGACAAGCAGGTATCCACTCGCGCGTAGCACAGGCTTCTTTGAGAAGCACAGGAGTGCCTGGGCTGAGATCTCGCGCCGCGCTTACAACGGCATCTGATCACAGGATGAACATCCGGTAGTGTCAGGCCATCAAAGTGTTTGGCTACAGATCATGACATGTTGTCGAACAACTGGGTTACCAATTACCAATGGACCACGATTTTTTGTAAATTCGCACAGTCATGAGCTACGATGTTGAGGCGTATCCTGGTCACCTGGCATTTCTAGTGTTGGACTGAACGACCAGAGATCATAGACTCGGATGTGGCTTGTATTACGCAAATACATCCTGAAGTCCGAAAACGGCGCAGGCCTCGAAGCACGAAGCTTTCAATGCTGACGTACACGCCGCAAGACTGAAGAAATTGCAAAGACAAACAGCGGTGGTGAAAATATAGTAGTGTGGATTTGGATGCTAAGTTAGTGTCCGACTAGATGGATCTGGAGTGTCTCCATCCAGCATGCCGGCACCACATGGCAAGTCAAGCGGTCGGTGATGCGCTTGGTTTAGTTGGCCACACTGGGAGGGAAACCCGAGACATGAATCGGGATCGCGGTTAGATGGCCAATGATGGCGTGAAACAGAAATCTAGACGTGTCGGAATAGACAGGCAGGGAGCAGAATGCTAAGGTCAGTGGAGATGGACATGAGGCTATCGACGTTTTCCCCGAATTCTCCAGTTAGGGTGGGCCTTGGGGTGAGATGCAGACCGGGACAAAAGTACGGCTGGAGAGCTTCAGCCAGGGCTCCACCTCCACAAAGCGGAGAGTTGAGTAAGTAGCACGGAGAGTTTCATGTGTGACTACTAGCTGCTGGGCTGAACGAGCCAAAGAGGTTGTGTCGTGAGCGTTGAGTTGCGAGGAGGTTACGAAAGGATCTCACTGTGTCAACACGCCGTATCCAGATTCAGTGCTACAGAAGGCTTCTAGAAGACACCCGGCATGGTAGCGTAGCAACCTCGTGCTGAGTTGCATTCGAGGGGACCATAGGCGGATTGTGGCTTTAGCGGTAAGCTGGCGGCGGATGACGATAGGGCCGACAACGTTGCCGATGCAAAAACTCTGCTCTTTCAAGTCGAGCCGACCACAGAGGACGATGAAGACGAGAGTGAAGAGGAAGATGGAATAGTGGTGGCGTTGACGCTAATTCATTGAAGGATATGTCCCCGGGTGGGTCAATAAAATGTGGAATGGAGTGGAGACGTCAGAAATGGACCATGTCACTATCTAGGGCTCGTCCGAGACACCATGACCAGACACATTTTTGTCATGTCCCAAAGGAAAGCGAACAGGGCACGAGAAATCGGGTTTTCCTTTGCCTTGCTGGCTGGCGACTTCCGACGCGCGCGTTGGAAGAAGATGATTTGACGGACGGGACATCATGCGCAAATTGAGAAAAACAGGGTCCAGGACCAACGTGCGCTAAGGATCTGATGGAATCTGGATGGACAGGTAGTGTTGCAGATGCAGATGAGCCATTCACCCAGCATCTCGCGCCTGTAGATCATACTGTTGCTCTTGACCGTCGCAGAGAGAGTTCAAGCGTGATCGGGACCAGTTGGACAATTTAGAGCAAAGGTGAGCAACAGCAGTCTGATTCGCGATGAATACGGGCAAGCTGTAGTCAAGTGGTGGTACTAGACACGGCCCCGTCAAGCCATGTTCACAAAAATTGCGGAGATGGAACAACAAGCTCTGTGGGGTTGGTGCCGATGACCGACATCAACAAAAAATCAAGCTCTTCATATGGTTCATGGCGTTCGAGTCGGCTGATGCTTGGCTTGACTTTAGTAATGGGATGAAGGCTCTGCACAATTGAAGTATTCGATTCTTCAAGACTCGAGAGCATATCAAGTCAAATCGGGAAGGCGACAGTGAACCAATCGAAGCAATAAAAGGACGTTTCCAGCATCCGGGTCAGACGTGGGTGTGGCAATGGATGCGGATGATTGAACGATGGGCACAGCCAGATTTCCTCCCCAGCGAGTATTACCTTAGCATCGACCAGACCAAGTAAGAAACGGCACGAGACAGCCAGGGCCAGTGCCTGCAAGCAGTTAGCGACGAGCGGCGGTCGGGGACACAACTGATGCGCCAGGGCCAGGGCCAGGGCCAGGATCAGGACTCCGGCTAGGTGTCTCCTTCATCTTCCTACTTCTGCTTGTCCTTGTCATTGTGCTCGTGCTCGTGCTGCTGTTCTGGAGACAGTCGTGGCAGTGTTCGATGAATGAGGAGGCGTGGGCAGATGGCAGACGTCGCATCAGTAGCCGGCGTGGAAGTCTAACAGAGTCAACAACAAGCAAGTGATTAGAGAGAAAAAGGACGACTCACGCGTGAGAACCCCGTCTCATGACACAAAGGCAATAATCAGTCCTTACTCCAGACTCACCCGGTTCCGACTCCAGACTCCAGACTCCAGACTCCAGAGTTCCGACTCCAGACCCCAACAAGTCAGCGGTGGAGTTAATATTATTAGGGAGAGGAGGCGTCGGGCCAATTGCAGGATACAGCCACAAGTGACAAGCAGCTGCAGGCTTCCGCTTGTTAATGTGCGGCGCTAGTGTCTTCTCGGCTCGGCTGCAGCTCTCGCTCTCGGACCTCTCTCTGGTCCACGCTCTCCCCATCACACACACTTTCACACAATCTCACACACATTCACACTTCACCCTCTCTAATATTGCTCCAGCAGCTTTTACACCCAAAACACACTAGACGACAGCCCAGACTACTCCAGCAAGCCAGTTCTTGTCATTGAGACTGCTCCATCAATCCCTTCCTGTCGGATTCGAGTATTCGAGTCTGTGCGTTCACTCCCTGTGAACGAACATGTGAGCATTGTGCTCCTCTTACACGCCAAATTCCACTTTTCCGCTTCTCCACATCCCTCTCCACTCTCCACTCTCCACCGTTTCCACCTTTCCAAATTCCACCTGTCCACCTGTCCAGCTGGTGCGTGAGCGTCTCTGGTGTGCCGCAAAAAAATAACACACGGTCTGCGCCAATGGCGCGAATCATGTTGCGTGACAGACTCCCGGAGTGAGTACCTGCCCCGTGCGCTCAGCCTGAGGGTAGCTCCCCATGCAAATCTATTCACTGACGCTCAGTCTAGCTGATGAGGTCTGATATCGGCGCATCCGCAGCGTAACATCCTCGTCTGTGCCGTCCTATCGTCGCCTCCTCACCCTGGTCCATCTTTTGTTTATAGTCTCCTCCGCGCCCTCGATTCCTCATTTCCGTTCTTCTCACGATAGACTGCATCTTCCTAGGATTATACCTTTTCCCTTCAGCCTCACCGACCTCCTCAGGCTGCGAGCGTCCTCCACCTCCAACCCTCTCCTAGCAGTACCCTCATATTTCTATTCATCATGCCGGGCGGTGCTGTCCTTCATGCCACCACCGACGTGTCGCGCGTTGAGGCGCCCGTCACCGTCAAAGCCTACCTCATGTGCGCCTTTGCATCTTTCGGAGGTATCTACTTCGGTTATGATACTGGTTACATGTCTGGTGTCCTAGGCATGAACTACTTCATCACTCAATACACTGGGCTCGAGCCTCCACCACCCGGTGCCACAAAGGAAGAGAGTGCCTACTTCACTATCCCTGCATGGGAGAAGTCGCTAATCACCTCTATCCTATCTCTCGGAACTTTCTTCGGTGCCATCATTGCTGGTGACTTGGCTGACTTTATTGGTCGTCGAACCACCATCATTGTCGGCTGCGGCATCTTCCTCATCGGTTGCATTCTTCAAACTGCCTCAAGTGGTCTTGGTCTCATGATTCCCGGTCGTATTATCGCTGGTCTCGGAATTGGTTTTATATCCTCGATTATCATCCTGTACATGTCCGAAATTGCGCCCCGCAAGGTTCGTGGTGCTCTCGTGTCTGGCTACCAATTCGCCATCACCATTGGTATCTTGCTGTCCAACTGCGTCACCTACGCTACCAAGGATCGCGATGATACTGGCTCCTACCGCATTCCCATTGCCATCCAGTTCCTCTGGGCCATCATCCTTGCTGTTGGTCTCTTCGTCCTGCCAGAGTCTCCTCGTTACCACGTCAAGCGCGGCAACATCCAGAAGGCTGGCGAGACTCTCGCCCGTCTCCGCGGTCAGCCGCGTGACTCACAATATGTGGAAGAGGAGCTTGCTGAAATTGTTGCCAACCACGAATACGAGCTCCAGGTCGTTCCTCAGGGTACTTACATGTCCTCGTGGCTCAACTGCTTCAAGGGATCAATCTCCCACGGTCACTCCAACCTTCGCCGTTCGATTCTCGGTATCAGTCTCCAGATGATGCAGCAGTGGACCGGTATCAATTTCATCTTCTACTTCGGCACCACCTTTTTCCAAACGCTCGGCACGATCAGCAACCCGTTCTTGATCTCCCTCATCACTACCCTCGTCAATGTCTTGTCCACTCCTATCTCGTTCTACATTGTTGAGCGCTTGGGACGTCGTACTATCCTCATCTACGGTGCCGCCGGTATGGTCGTCTGTCAATTCATCATCGCTATTGCCGGCACCGTTGACGGTGAGAACCCGAATACCGTCAAGGCCATGATTGCGTTCATCTGTATCTACATCTTCTTCTTCGCTACTACCTGGGGACCCGCTGCCTGGGTCGTCATTGGCGAGATCTTCCCTCTCCCTATCCGCTCCCGCGCCGTCGGTCTCTCAACTGCCAGCAACTGGCTCTGGAACTGCGTAAGTTGCACACTCTTCGACAGCACTTAAGGTTGAAGCTGACAAAATCTTAGATCATCGCCGTCATCACCCCCTACATGGTCGGTGCCGACGAGGCCAACCTCGGACCCAAGGTATTCTTCGTCTGGGGCTCTCTCTGCTCTCTCTGCTTCATCTACGCCTACTTCCTCGTTCCCGAGACCAAGGGCCTTACCCTTGAGCAGGTCGACCGCATGCTCGAGGAGACTACTCCTCGCACCTCTGCCAAATGGGTACCACACAGCACCTTCGCCGCCGACATGGGCCTCACCGAGAAGGGTACCCTTACCGAGGCGATTGTTGAGGATGTCGAGCGCAAGGGTTCTGTCCACTAAGAGCGCCGCTTGTATACTACATGAAAGGGAGCTGTGGATAATGAAGATGCTTGGATAGGGTGGGAGTGGAAATGATTACGATGATACCATATTTGTTTACGAGGTCAACGCTTTGCATGAGATAGTCATGAATGAAGCTATGCCCCATACCAATCGCTGCTTCCATGGTTGCTGTCGTGATATTCCTCGCGCTTCGATATTCTGTCTGCGCTGTGATTGTATGCGACGTCTCGCTATCCCGCAAATAGTCCCGTCACTCGCACTTCGCGACGCTCTCCTCCCACCACGCGCGAGGTTACCATAATACGAGGGACCCGATCCTAGCGCATGGCGCTATTCTCCACACTTCCTTCGCGTGCCGTGTGACACTCGCCATCCACTACCGACCCAAAAACGCGCTTGACTCGCGTGCGGCGCGCCCGCAACGAACGCTACCACTAATTACCACTATCCTACCCCAGCCCAATTAGCTACAGTAGCTAGCTACCCCACCAAACGGCACCTAGCGTATTAGCCAGACAATTAGACAGACAGCTACAGCTGTTAGTTAGTTAATCAGCCCCGGAGCCCCCCCAGCCCCAGCCCGGCACTTCCAGCTGACTAGAACGGATCCAGCCTAGCGCACCGTAACCGAGCCGGCGGTTTCGCTGTTTTTCTCGCTAAAGAAGGTGGGTGGATGGGGGAGTGATGGGTTGGTTGATTAGGTGTTTTTGGTGGTGATGGGTGGTGGTGGTGGTGGTGTGTTCTGGGGAGCTTTCCCTGCATTTTTCTATTTATTGGGTGGGTGGGTGGATGGCGTGCATGGATGGGCTTGGCTGGGTTTGGGCTTGGTTGGATTGGGGTTAGGGGCTTTGCGGTGTTTGCGGGGGAGGGAGGCTAGGGTTTCTGAGGGATATGTGCTATGGGTCTGGATTGATGGGGTGTGGTGTGGGTGGTGCTAGAGTGGGATTGTGTTTGTGTTTGGGATGCGGCTGGAGGGGATGGTTGATGGTGGAACAAGGCATACAAAAGCGTCGAGGCGTAATATCCCGGATTTATGTTCGTTTGCCGCTGACTTGGAGCTCATGCAGTCGTATAGAGCTATGTCTACTAAGCACACAGCTATCATGATGTTCTCTCACCGAACCGTTGGTTATATTGCTTGAAGAGTGTATGCCTTCATACGGTTATGGTGGCGCCTCCACATACCCCCCCCCCCCC